ACTAGTACTATCACAACTACTACTACAACTACAGCACTACTTCTACTACTACTATCATTACTACTACTACTACTACTATCATTACTACTACTACTATCACTACTACTACTACCACTACTACTATCACAACTACTACTACAACTACATCACTACTTCTACTACTACTATCATTACTACTACTACAACTACTATCACTACTTCTACAACTACTACTACTACTATCACAACTACTACTACAACTACATCACTACTTCTACTACTACTATCATTACTACTACTACTACTATCATTACTACTACTACTATCACTACTACTACCACTACTATCACAACAACTACTACTACTACTTCTACATCACTACTACTACTACTACTACTACTACTATTACTATCATTGCTACTATCATTACTGCTACTACTAACATTACTACTACTACTACTACTACTACAACTACTATCACAACTACTACTACTAGATCACTACCACTACTACTACTACTATCACTATTACTACTACTATCACTACGTCTATTACTACTACTACTACTACTACTATCACTACTACTACTTCTACATCACTACTACTACTATCTCTACTACTACTACTACTACCAATACTATCACAACTACTACATCACTACTTCTACTTCTACAACTATTACTGCTAACAACAACAACAACAACAACAATAATAATAATAATAACAACAACAATAATAATAATAATAAAAGTAATATTGATAATAATAATCTTTGCTTCTTAGCTGCGACAGCAGAACTGTGTTGTATTTAAAGTAATATTATGCGATGTTAACGGTTTCTGTAAATGTAAACAGGAAGCAGCAACAACAATTTTTTGTTAACCCTTCTGTTTAAGTGGAATGAAATGCTTAAAATTCTGAATAATTAATGAGTATCAGAGCCACATGACTTCAGAGCTAGCTCTGGAGAAAGGCATCAGCCTGGGCCTTGGTCTTATGTTAATAGGTGTTCTGGCATGTCGACTGTTTGAACTTTAGTTTAGTCTGTGTTTGGATGTTAATCAATTAATTATTTGGACAAAGAGGGCAAGCTGTGGTTATTGACTGCAGTAAAAGATCATCCATGCAGTTTCTGTTTCTTTTTTATCAGCAAGTGCAATTACATTCCTGTACTTTATTTTTGCTGATTGAATGGGGGAAAATGCTGACTGCTTGGTCAAACATGTTGGTGGGTCTTCTGGCTGAATAAGAAACTTGAGTGGATGCCCATCTCCTGTGTCCTGCCTGAAACGAGTTGCTAGAGCAGGCAACTGGCTGCTCCCGTTTCCTGGGACAGCCAATGTGCGGACCGGCTCCCACGCGAGGCTGTAGTCGTGCTGGAGGTGTCATTTGGAATCGTAGGATATCCAAGGAAGATCCCGTCTTTCTTGGCACAGAAGAGCTTTACTGCTATTTCATTTAGCAGCAAACCATCTTCCCATGCTAAGTGAAGACTGTTCTCCTGTCATTGCCACCAACAGAAAGCTGTTTTTGGGAGTTTTGTAAAGAAAATGTGAACTTAGCGTTAATCAGAGGCATGAAAGATGGAACTATACTTGGACATACTACGATTCTAAATGACACGACCGGGAGCCTTTCAGATCAGCTCATTCTCCATGGTTGGAGATCAGCAGGACAATAGACATGCCAACCTGAAGCTAACGAATAATTTACGGGTGTTTTTAGCAAGAAAACGCGGCAGAGCATCAACGTTGGACGCGTTTTACCGCGTTAGCCTGTAGCTAACGTCCCGCTGATCTCCGCCCATGGACAATGAGTTGATCTGAAACGCCAGGGCTCCCAGTCACAGTAGTCTGGCTCTGCTTGTAATGTAACAGTTCCAGTCCAGATTAGATCTCTATGGGCGACCAGCATGACTACTACAGCCTTGCAGTGAAGCCGATCGGCCTTGCTGAGCGGTGGACTACCTCGCGGCCTCCAATGCCCTTCTTACACCTGTTTCACACTGGAACCCCCAGCAGCGCGAAATGGCAGCTGAATGGTTTACTTGCAAACTTCAACGTGATCTTTCTCACACTGGGAGAGTTTTCGCAGCGGCATGGCTTCCTCGCTGTGCTCTGTGCCGGACTCGTGAGATCACAAAATCCCTCGAGACTTCAGGTCACGGTTTGTTTATGCAATCTGCCATTAAACCAAAAAGAAAGAAATCACGTTTGATATCACTGTTTGATGTCATATATGAAGTTATTCCTCTCCACTGTCAAAATGAAAGCCATGAAAGCATGATGCTGTGAGTAAATAAGTTGTTGGGTCACAAGTAAGCCTCAAATATATGAAATTGCATCACTCTTGTACTTTTATTTTGAAATTTACCAGTGATTTTACACTGAAACCATGTGTGATTTCCTGTCTAGCCATACAACTGTGGAAATTGATACATCCCAGAAGCAGCACACAGCAAAAACAGTACCCAATCCTATCTTTAGCGGCGCGGCGCAACATACCGCTTCTGGGATGTGCCTGGAAATTGCCGCGTCGCTGCTGGTTTGAAACACTCCATAGACTATAATGGATTCTATTTGAAGCAGTGACATTCCTCTGCTGTTCTGCGCCATCGATGCTTTCAGTGTGAAATCGGGGTTAGCTTCTTGGGTTAGCTAAGTTAGCTAGTAGCTAGATTGGTTTAATTTGTTCCAACCCTGTTCCAAACGTAACAGCCCCACCATCAGCTCCACCTCGTTCCCATTTTTGGATTGTCTGGATGTGACTCGGTCAAAAAAAATCAGTGGTGGGAACCTTCTATTTTGGCTTCAACTAGTACCCCAGCAGAGCAATGGGTGGGCTATATCCACATTTTTATATAAATCGATGGTCCTGACTCCTGACAGAAAACTATTCTGAAGCTGACAGAAGACGCTGATGAGATTGGTTGGATTAGGTATAAAAACAGAAGCTCCCCCCATCCCTCAAGTGGACATCTACACCAGCAGAACCAGAACCAGAGTCAAGAAAATGATGATGGACCACACCCATCCAGCTAAAAAAATTGTTCACCCTCCTTAAACTCATTTTATTCATGTCTAACGGGGCAACAGTAGGGAATTCTGCTGTTGTGTCCTTGGGAAAGACACTTCACACTCCTTGCCTGCTGGTGGTGGCAGCCCTGTCAATGTGCCAGAGGGCTACATTGTAGGTGAATGACTGTAGTGTAAAGTGATTTGGAGTCCTCTTACTCTGAAAGCAGCATTACAGGTGTAACAAGTTTATCATGATGCTAATGGTCAATAGTAAAATAATCCTTCAGTCTGAATCTGATAAACCCAACAGACCTTACACAGATGTTGGAACCAAAGTAATCAATTTACTTTGCCAAAACCAAAATATTAATATAAAATAATTAAAGTTATTTTTGTGGTTTACACAACATTTTCCGGGTATGAGGGGCACTGGTCTGTGCTGTGGTATGGTGAGCTGCTGGCTGTTGGCCTGGGCTATTGGATGTATTGGACTGCCTACCATCTCAGGGTGGCTCTTCTTCACCTAGACACTCTGAAGTCTTGTCTGCGTGTGTTTAAGGTTGGGTGAGGGACCAACCAGGTTGGCTAAGTCAACCAGTGACTTTTGACATCTTGCAGGTGTGGACCTTTGGGGGATGGGTTGGAACTGCCCATAGCTAGCATGCACCAAGCAGGCAATTGTTTGCTGGGTGGTGAGCTCCTGACTTGGCGTCCCCAAGTGGGTTCCTTCCGGCTCGGGCCCAGGGCTCATATCTGTCTCCTAGGTTGCTGCCTGGGTGTACATTAGCCACTTGTCCTGGCACTATTATGCATGGGCTGTGGTGGGGCTGCCCTTCCCTCATCTCACACACCACAGTCAAAAAACACTTCTATTGGCACTTCTACACACAAGCTCATGAGTGGTGATCACAATGTGGTGTCCAGGACTGAAACCAGTATATTAATGTAAGATATTCCCTGATTTTATAAATAAAAACATATTTTGGTGAGACCACCGTCCCCTTAATAAGATCTGTGTTTGTCTAAATGAGGGTCTACGGCAGAAAGGCATTAGCTACAACAGAACAAACGCATGTTTGTACCAAGATTTCATGACATTAACACACTGCTCTTGTTTTCAAGGGCTGTGGCTATAATTAGTTTCTGTGCTGTCTAATAAATATTTTATTGTTCAGTGTATACTTCCACAGCAGTGTGTAAAAGTCTATATATTCTGATTAATGTATTAATGTATTCAATAAAAATGAATAATTAAGACACAAGGTAATATGAACAAACACTTCAGATGTGATCAGAGATGCAAACATTAGACATTCCAAAAATATCTCTCTATCCAAGAATCCATTTTATAACACAACTATGAAACCTGAGCACTAAATAAATGAAGCTGGTCACAAACGACCCCTGATCGCTAAGATGAATGAAAGTAGAAAAGTAGTTATTAACTGATCTTCCTAAAGGGAAACGGGTTTGAGGTGTGGAAACAAAACAGGTTTTCTGTCTTTATGTTCCTTAATTAAGAGCCAGTCTGAGATTCACTGTGGCAAACTGCATGGAGATGAACCAGTGACGGTGTCACTCAAAGGCCTGCAAAGCATACTAGGAATATGGGGTCAAGAAGCAAAGCAGTGAAGATTTTAATGATGCCCAGTGACCACATGTCAGCAGTACCTGTGATGCCATAGCACCCTAATGTTGGTTTTCCTTTTTCTATAGTTAGTTCTAATCAACCTTCATCTCAGAAGATCAGCCAAACTTGAGTGCAAATAGACACAGAAGAACCACAGAGATTATCTGAAATGTGAAACTTAAAAACACAACTGTTGTGCCAATATAACCTTGAGAGACTATCAGGACGTCCCTGAGCAAAGGGATGAAATTAAAGCTGAATGATGACATCTCACCCAATCTGACTTTTTCAGCTAAAATGCCACCTCACACACATAGAATCTGTTTCTTAGTTGTATGCCACATTTCCACCCCCTCCTGGTAACCTCCACTCACCTGTTCTATCTTGGCCAGCCATTCCTTATTGCGGGCCAGCTCTGTCATAAAGGCCTGGTGCTTCAGCCACTTCCTGTGTAGCTTCTGAGCCTCATCCCGCGCCGTGTCTCGAGCCATAAGCATCTTCTCCTCCACCTGCTGTCCCAATCTCTCAGCTAGGGGAGACAAAAATAGCCACCATCAGGAGGCCAATGCTCAAGCCAGCACTTCTTTTCCCCTTTCCCACAGGATGTCCTGCCTGCCTCCTCTACACACAAGCCACCCGCTTTGCTCTGCAGGGGCCTAGTTACCTGTGCTGTCACCAACCACACGAGCCCCCAACCAGACACCCTCTTCTAGGGCAAAAAAGTCAAGATAAGCACCTCAGCAGTAGTGGCAATGGAAGTAATTCAAGCCCTTCCTTAGGGTCGCCCCTGGGTCCTCATGCTCTACCGCTTCATGGATGTTGCGGTCCTGATGCTGCAGTGTCTGCTAGCCAGTATCAGAGAAGGCAAAAACAACCAGCAAAAAAGAGGAAATGTGCCAGTGACAACACCGGTAAAGAGCAACATACACATCCAAGATTGCTTCTGGGGTAAGGGTTATTTTCTAGCGCCGAGTGTCAGTTCCAATCCAGCCATCAGGGAGGGGGAGATGTAGCATAGCCTCGCAAGAATCCTTCAGCTGGAGCAGAACCTGACTATCAACCACTCGCCAGTCTTGGTCAATTGGTAGTCCTGTCTAATGATGCTGTAGAGAAGGGGAGGAAGAAGAGTAACAGTGGGAGGAGCAGGGCGAACGGATACAGAGGCAGTGCAGAGGAGGCTGGATAACATAAGCCGCCCTCTCTTGAAATGCATCGGTCCCACCTCTGCGAAGATGCACACGCAGGCGGATCTGCGATGGCACTCTATTTTCTCTCCTGAAATCCCCTTCCTCCAGTTCCTGAATGGCTCAGCCACGGCTGCTGCATGCTGCTGCAGTCCTTGCTTCCCAGCTATGCTACCAAACGCACAAGTGTGTATGTGCCTGTGTGTGTGTGTTCAATCACAATCAGCACTGCAGTGGCAGAGCGGAGTGAGAAGGGGGGCAGTGAGAGGAGAGAGAGAGAGAGAGAGAGAGAGAGAGAGAGAGAGAGAGAGAGAGAGAGAGAGAGAGAGAGAGAGAGAGAAAGAAAGAGAGAGAGAGAGAGAGAGAGAGAGAGAGAGAGAGAGAGAGAGAGAGAGAGTCTGGGAGATGAAATGGATAAAAGGGTAGTACCAAAGCGGGAGAAAAGGAGGGGAGACCAAGTCAAAAGAGTGAAAATGTAGTGTTAGCTAGAAGGAGAGTGTGTGTGTGTGTGTGTGTGTGTGTGTGGGGGGGGGGGGGGGGGGGGGTAGTGGAAGAGAGAGAGAGCCTGCGTCATCTCTTGGTGTCACCGGGGACATTTCTCTGCACTAGAAATGACTGCACTCAGAGCCGGATCAGTATTTGGGAAGAAGGGGAGGGGGTTTGAAACAGCTGAACGAGACGGAAGGAAGACACATGCAGTCACGGTCCGGCATGCAGCTGACTGATTCTCAGTCAATCTGCTTCTTCTGCAGCATTGAAAACATTTAGATATCCTCCTTCAAATGTGCTGGTTCAGATTCGCCATAGCACAGAGAAGACGAGATTTTTAAGAGGCTAAAATGGATTCATGTCCCATGTTCAGACCAGAGAAGCTGGGTGTTCACCCTGTGTTTTCATGTTTCCATCGGAATTTTAAAAAGTGATTTATGAAGTAAAAAATCCCAGATGAAAAAAAAACTGTTTACAAATCAGTGCATAAATCGGACACTGTTTAACACTTTTTTGTGAGTTATGCCAGGAAAGACAATAGTTAAAGATTTTGGCAAAGATGGAATTTTAGTTTTTTACATTTTCTTAGAAATAGATGAATGGAGAGTAAAAAACGGTGGTTTATACTTACATCCTTATAGACATTAACCCTTTGATGCATGAATTATGAAATCTTCAACCATGATTTTTCATTCATCTTTAGGTGTGAATGAAACAAATTTCATATTTACATATTTTTTGTAACATTTAATTTACAAATAATTTATTACATGTCCACCTCAGTGGACAGCGTGCAATCTGAACATGAAATACCGTAAATCCTCTAATATTAGCCTGTATTTAATTAACTGCCGGTATCATATTTTGGCCGGTGTCGGAGTCGGCGGAGGTGAATAATGGCCGTTGTTTTATTGTGGCCGGGTAGAATGTGGTAACAAGCAAGTACTGGGGGCGGTTGTGTCATCCATCTCACTTTTGATTTGCCAGTGATAGACCGCGAGGGTAACTTTAACCGTGCAGAGACGAAGAGGAGGCGAAAATTTGATATCAAGTTCAAAGAGAATGTGCTGATTATGCTGCAGAACACTCTGGGGAGCAGTAGGGGTTGTATGAACTAGTCACTAGTCGACTTCACCGCTCTATAATGACTTTTTATGCCTGTCATCGACTAGTCGCTGTCACGTGATAATGACCGGCAAGATGCAGTCCACGTAAAAGACAGAAGCCTGCTGTCAGCAGGTGACAAGCTCCTGCGGTCAGGAGGCAACGCGCTGTGCCAGAGCGTCGGTACTGACACCCACCGTAAAACGGACATTTAACCAAATTGTGACCTTTACCCTCTTGCAATTTAACCTTCCCCTCACCCCCATCCTAACCTTAACCAGCTTGCGCATGCAAAGCTCTGATTGTTGACGCGCGCCAGACATCTGCGTCCTGAGCACGGCCAGAGTAACATTATCAAATCAGGTGTCGCCACCTCAAAAACTAATTTAACACGCGACCGTTCATGTCGTTTCATTTCCTTTTATGTTTTCTGTCTTTTATTCTTTTATTTGCCTGATGCGTTTTGCTGCTGTGGATCGGGGCGCATCACCTGTTTTGTCCTTGGTGACGCACCTAACTGATGCGCAAGGGCGTCAGTTTGTTTTCAGAATTGCTGGGGACAATAACCGTACACTTGTGTGGGGTTTAAAAATTGCTGGGGACAATAAAGTAGGCTAGCACAGGGGTCGGCAATCCGCGGCTCTGGAGCCGCATGCGGCTCTTCCATCCATCTGATGCGGCTCCCTATGCTTATAAAATAATGAATGGTTATTTAAATAAAATGCTTTATATTTTACTGCATTAATTTTACACCTGTATGCCAATTCTAAATGTAAAGATTGTCTGCGTAAACCTGAACAGGTCCAACCCGGTCTTACTGTGAGACCGGGTTGACGCGTCACGCTTGTGCGTAATCATATAGGCGCTTTCTGAGCTGAAGAGGATGTGAGATTCTGGGATTCTCCTCAGACAGGCTCCTGGATGTGTCGCCACATTGGAGACAGGAACAAGTGCTATTCAGCCAAAGTTTCATAATCAGGGAACATTTTCTAAGTGAAGTCTCTCTGAGAGACAGGGTTTGGAAAACACTCGCTTCAGTGGGAGGAACCTTCCACATGCGCTCTGGTTCTCTGGGTGGCTCTGGGGTTAATCAAGTTTAATTGTTTCTCTTTGCAACAATCTTCACAGGAAGGCAAAACAGTTAAACGGCAGGTTACAGATATTTCCATTTGACTGTTTATTTTGACAGATGAACTCAAGGATGTTGCTTGGTTTGAAAGAATTACCCCGACGCACACTGATGCGCATGGATGAGCTGACATTTTAATCGTTAACGCACATCGCGGAGGTAAAATATTCCCATCAGAACATCAGAGCTTTATACTGGACACTGTGTTCAGCGTGGCTCAGAGCGCCCACGGTGGACAGTGAGCTGAAGATCTGGGGTTCGCAGCGCAGTGCAGAAACACGGCGCATGTGATGATTTCCTCCCACTGAAACAGTCTGGAAACCCGGTCTCTCTGAGGGATGTGTCACTTGGAAAAATGTTCTTTTTATGAAATTATGAAACTTTGGCTGAACAGCGCTTGTTCTCGTCTCTAATATGGAGACGCATGACGCGTAGAGACATTTGATCACGCACAAAGTTTATGTGGAGCAGAAGCGGTCGGGCCACGGCAGGTGAAACGTTCCTAGCCTACATGAAGTGAAACTGTTTAATTGTAACATTAATATGTTACTGGACACGCTGGTCTGGTTGGTTAGACCAGTGTTTGAAGTGGAAAACACACACACACACACACACACACACACACACACACACACACCAATTAAAATAATGCTGATAGCATGGACTAGAAGACAGGTGATGGTTTACGTATTTAAATGATCATCAGGCTGCTGTAAAATGTAATCTCCATCCACATCCAGACAGAATTATCCTCTGTTCTTTCTCTATTTGCTCTGCTCTTGTCTGGGCTGATCAGCTGATGGTGCGTGCGGCGCGCCTAACTAGCGGCTGATGCACATTTTACACATTTGGAGAGGTGGGCTGGATGCTTTGCGTTTACTGGAAGATGGTCCACTTAACGCACGGGTGTAGACTAAATATTAATGACAAATGAATGAAAATTAAATTGTGAGTTTTTACTTCATATTTTATAAATAAAAAGGACGGGGGAACACATTTATGACATCTTTTTAAACTAAATTTTCTAGCGCGACCTGCCTGCTTCACTTAAGTCACTGCTTATTAAGGTCCGTCCAAAATTACTGTGGGAAATGGGTAATAATGGCTCTTTGATGGGAACAGGTTGCCGACCCCTGGTATAAGATCTGAGCTGGTAAAACAAAAATCCTCATCAGCAGGCATTTTTGAAAGTGGGGGAGGGACACAGCTGCCAATCACAAATTTTGCCGGGGACATGTCCCCGGCGTCCCCGGTTAAAATGACGCCTATGGTGATGCGGCCGGCGAGCACCCCGCTGTTTTTGCGGTCGGTAGATCTTTTAGAACTGCAGTTCAAAGGTAACTCATAAGGTGAATATATATGAACCCAGGTAGCAGTGTTTCTTTAGGATTGATAGGAGATGCAGGAAGATAATAAACAGGCAGGACAGAAAAATAGTCAAATAAAAACAAGTTAGTTTTTGTACCTGGTGGTTGCAACAAAAAGACACCATTGAAGGTAATCAGAAGTGAGGAACAGAAAATGAAATGATTATTTTAATGTTTAGAGCAGCAGGAACTCAGAGAGGCTGCAGGCGCATCAGTGAGTTTGCGGCTGCTGAGCAAGGGGGGGTGCTGAAGCAGAAACTACCGTTGTTAAAAGAAATGTGTTTAACATTGAATATGTGGCCGCAATTTTAATTGTCAAAAACTCCAGCGCACCATTAGTTCATTTTACTCAAATAGAAATTGAGGCCTGCCTCTAATTCTGGTCCTCCTTCCAATAAAGGCCTGGAGCTCGATGAGCTTGAGTAAAATACAGGCCCGGACCTGTATTAGAGGATTTACGGTATGTTGTGTTGACTTACTGAAGTACAAATGGAGGGGTTCAAATGCAATAAATTCTTCAACAGCTGTGCTTAATAGCAAAAATAAATAAATAGCAATTTTGAGTACCTGTCCACTGTAGTGACCATTATGCATCAAAGGATTAATTTAGCCCTTTTTAGGAATATAAAGAATTCTCAATTTGTTTTTGAAAGGTTTGAAACAGCTGGTTTAAATTTTACCCAATCCATGACACAATGTTGAACCTAGAGACCTGACTCTGATTATTAATTTGGGATTGTATGAGGAGGTACCAAATATAAAAAACTCTATATTCTAACTGGGTGGGAAAAACCTAGAACCAAATCAGTTTCGGTCTGCTTAGACATTTTTCACTTCAGCTTAAACTGTTTAGAATTGTATGGTTTCATCACATTTAGATTGTATTTTATTTCAAATATCTTCATCTTTATTAATTTTACGAGATTTTTTGGGTTACATTGTTTGGAGAAGGAATCATAAAATCAAACCGATCATTTATAAGATTTTAAAAATAAGTTTTGAATGTTAAATATTCTTTAAATGGCATTCTAGATTTAAGAAATACTTGCTGTATTGCAAATAATCTAGTATATGAGAATAAAAGCAGTCATTTTGACATCAATAAATAGAAGAAGAACACCCTATATCGTTTTATACACTGCCTGGCCAAAAAAGAAGTTGCCGCCATAAAAAAAAAAGTCACACACTCTTATACAGGGGTCTCCAACCTTTTATGTCCTGTTAGCTACTTTTACACAACAAAAGTACAGAAGAACTACTGCTATTCTGCCATTCACATTGAAACTTTTCGTGTGTGAATATGCTTACTATATACACAGCAAGTAAAGTCAAAGGAAAATAGTGACAATCCTGTTTTAAATTCAAACTTAATGAAACATATATATCTAATGATGTCCTGAGTTCCACCAGATGACCTCGCTGACCAGAGATGACATCACTGCCTTCTACTCTGCTTCCTCTCCTGCTGTTCTGGATTGTTCTGGATTTTTCTCAGGGGTTCCTGTATTCATGACCTTCAACATGGTTCCAGCATGCTTGTCCTCGTTTCCTGCCTGTGGACGTCGCAATGTTTGGAATTACAGTTAGCTGATTGGTCGAGATGCAGCATGTGTGTTAAAGGATGGTCTCTCAGCAGCAGGAGCAGGGCTTTCAGCATCATGACAGACTCCACCCAACCAGCACATGGACAGGTTGACTCCTTCCATCCGGTAGACACAAGAACAAGTCAGACTTATCAACGCTTCTGCAGCTGGCTGCAAAAACAATCCAGAACCTAGAATCATTTAGACCAACAGTTATGTTCAACATGTGATCACATCAAATGCAACAGCAAATTCTCTCATTGCTACTGAGCATTTTCTCCACTTATGTGGTTATGATATAAGGCTGTTGCTGTAATTGGGAAGTGAACTGTGCTGGGCCAAACTAGGAGAATATTAAGATTTTCTGAGGGAAAGAGAAAAACATTTGCCTACCTTTCAGTAGAGGAACTGGCAAAAAACTACATGGAAAATATGTGAAAACGTTTGCTTTTAACCCCAAATTGAACAAGTTTACCTAGATCTTAAAAAGCAGCTCAGATGATGAAACTGCAACTATGATTCTGATAACAAGCTAACAAATTGAACTAGCTCCTCTAAGATAACCGGCTAGCAGAGCTTCTGACTGACAGTTTATGTGCAGCAGCAAATCAACTATTCTGATTAACAAGGTTATAAAACTTATAAATAAAAAATCACTGATGTGTGGGGGAACTTTTCCAGGCCCTCTTTAGCAGGGTGGGACTGGGAGGACTGCAAAAATGGTCCATCTAACTAAGTATTACAATCTTATATCCAGCAAAAAAGTATTTTTTATCTTGTATTGAGACATATATACTAAACGAGAGCAGAATGTGTAAGAATATTAATCTTGTTATAAGAATATGTGCCTTTTATTTCTTACTTAATTGCTAACTCCTAAAAATAGTTATTTTTAGTGCATTTTAAGTAAAATTATATTACAGAGTCATATCTGAGCTCGCATAATAACATTTTTTTGCATTGAAATCTTGTTTCAAGACCTTCTAGTAAAAAATCACACTTAAGACTAGTTGTACCAACATTAACACATTTATTCCGTTTTTAAACTGCACTGTAGCACCAGTTCATCACCACAACATAGACAAAACCCCATCACAGGTAACAAATTATCAATATGCCACATATTTCACTGTTGCAACTATACATTTAAATTTTTAAGTGCAATAACATCATCAAGGGAATATTTTGTCGGAACATACACACTGCTTTTGAAACTGACTGGATAATATGATGCATGATCAACTAGCTTAAAAGCATCTATAAACTCAGTCGCCTGGGCAAGATTAGGGACTGCAACTTCATATGCTAAAAGATCTTTGTTCCACCTCCAACAGCCCATGTTGTTTGACAGTACTGTGTTTTTACTTTAACTGTACTATTTTCTGCAATTTCAGCTGTCAACTTTATTTTCTCTGTAAGTGTTTTTCTCCCCAGAAGAAGCTACAACGACGTTCTGCTGAGCTGTGGTGGCCTCATGGAGGGGGCCAGCGACTAGCACACTGCTGCTAACCACTAAAACATTCTCCCTGTCCTGATAATAGCCTTTTGCTTTCCTTGACGTTGGATGTGCTAATATTAGTTTATCCGTTTAATTATAGATTCACTAGGATAAATACAATAAAGTTTATCTTTCACCAAATAGAATATTTACTAAGACATCACAATATAACTATATACACATTACTAGTCTTTGTGAGTGCGTGCGTGCGTGCGTGCGTGCGTGCGTGCGTGCGTGTGTGTGTGTGTGTGTGTGTGTGTGTGTGTGTGTGTGTGTGTGTGTGTGTGTGTGTGTGTGTGTGTGTGTGTGTGTGTGTGTGTGTGTGTGTGTGTGTGTGTGTGTGTGTGTGTGTGTGTGTGTGTGTGTGTGTCTTCTCTGTCTTCTCGATCCCCAGTGAGTCGTGGAGGATGGCTGCTTATACTGAGCCGGGATTCTCTGGAGGTTTCTTCCTGTTAAAGGAGACATAACATGCTTTTAAGTTATTCCTTTTTACATCTAAATCCTTCAGTTGGGGTCTAAATACAGTGGAACTGCAGTTCTTTGGTCTGATTTCCTCATTATTGTTGCTCTACAGACCCTCATCTACCCCTGTTCTGAGGAGTCTTGAGAACGAGCCGTTTTTGGGTACTGTCTCTTTAAACTGGAGGAGGAGCTGTAAACTCCGCCCCCCCTCCATAGTGCAGACCTGTACTCTCCTCCCCCAGTCGGACTTTGTAGTTCTATAGAGAAATCATTATTTAGCATAGCAGATTTAGCATAGCATATTAGCATTTTTAAAACATGTGGGGAGGGTAGTTCATCAAGCTGTTTCAAGGCTGCTAACTCTCTCATGCATTTGTCTGTAGTCACTCACACACACCCGTCACGGCCGACGGAGGGACAAGCTAGCAGGCACGTGCGCGCGCGCACACACACACACACACACACAAGGAATGCTGCTTGCTTATTTATTTCTATAAAAAATGTTTTAAAAAATGATACAGCTCATTAAAACACCATTAAAAGAATACATTTTATTAAGATCTCTATCTATCTATCTATATATATATATACATACATATAATTATGAATAATTTTATAAGTAGTCTTATTTAATATTGGGTGTCTTAATGGCTGAAAATGGATAAAAAGCAGTTACATTTTAATTTAAAGATTTGAGATTCGAGTCAAAAATAAAGAACATTCCTCCAAATGTTCTTTAATGTGATCATTATAATTCTAATGCTTACAACTTTGTTTTTATTGTCTGCAATGCGTAGCCTATATCTTTATTAAATGTGTTTAGCTGTAAAGTGGTAATTCTCTCTAATGTGTACAGAGAGGTGGACATCAGTGCTGCAGTGAAATTCCCAAGATCAGTCTGCTTTGCTAACAAATATAGTTAAATCTTACCTGCATTCTAAATAAATACCGTTAGGTGGAAACATCAGTAGGCATTGAGTTATTGATACAATCCCTAACAGCCAGAATGGAAGAAGAGCATACTGGGTCATCCTGGACCTGAGCCTGTTCTGTGTATTTACCTACAGGATGCAATAAATGTCTACAAGGCTGAGTTTGGACCATTACATCTAAAAGAAAACATACAATCAGTGATTTTTTTATTGTTTACATTAAAATACAAATTTTCTAAGTATTAACCTCACAGCAAATAAGTAGAACAATATAATAAACAGGCTTTAGTAGTTAAACAGGCGTTGTGCACACAGGTGCTTTGTGTCTCGGTGCTGGTGGTGTCTAGGTCTCAGAGTTCCTGTCCTCCTGCCGTCTTCTGTTGTCCTCAGGATACGGATTGATGTTTCCTAATGATGAGGGAGGGGCAGTATGTGGGCTTCAAACTGGTCCTGGATAACAGTGGGAGACCTCCGTTGTCTGAATACTGAGATCAGAGGGTTGGTGAGATGCAGATCTTCTCTACCTCATCTAGAAACGGAGTTGGTTCAGGGAAAACTTTTCCAAAGACCAGTTCCATGATGTCATCGTCATATTCTGCAATGATAGACAATAACTTTAATGACATATTTTGTTTACAAGCAGCTTTAGGAAAGTTGTTTCTTTAGCTTTCATGTTTATAGTCACGTTTGTGTTTGTTCACAAGTTCACTTTGCTGCAGTGACTTCATATTCTTACAAATGTAATAAAATAGTGACACTAAAATAATACAAATGATTCCTTATGAAAGGAAGCTCATTAGAGAGCAGTGCAGACAGACTTACTACTCTATTAAATCCACTGTGTTGACGCACTTTAATGACTTTGTCACGCTGCATTTTAGCTGATATGGGACTTTATTTACTGGATGCTAAGATTACATCACACTCACGTAGAATAACACACAGGCTCTCTGCTGTTACAATCAGTGGGAGGTTATCATCTGGTGTAAAAGAAGGTGTTGATCAGAAATCACGTTTTATTCCACGAAAATCAGCCAAATCCACATTAATCTGGGTGCTAACTTTACTAGCATACTGTGCTAGCGATAGCAAGCCGGATGCTAACGCTTTAGTGCTGCTGATGCCCGTAAATCTAAAGTAAAGTTTGTCGACATTTTAGAGTGATATGAAGCTTACCGCTCTGCTGCTGTGTCCCGGTGCTGCCACATTCAGATAAAAATGACTCCTTTTAGATAGATGAAGCCCTCAGTACTTACTAGCCTGGAGACACGAACGAACCACGCGCACGCGCGCGCGCGCACACACACACACACAAACACAAACACACTACTTTTTCTTCTGTGTTTTTTTAGCAGTAGCATGGACGTCACTAGGATTGAGTTTTAGGGGGGGCTTAGCCCCAGGAGCTTGACCTTGAACATTTTTTTCACACCCTGCAAAAACTTTGTCAATTAATTCATTTTCTGAAGAACATTTAACAAAACCTATTATTTTGTCACTTTCTTTTCCTTTCCTACCTTTGTGCATTTTCTCTCTTCTTTTTATAAAAAAATAACACTTAATCAGTTCATTAGTGGGGTCTATGTTGAAGAAAGATTTTATATAAGTCCATTAAAAATTAGATATGTTATATTTCCAAATAAAGCTATTAATTTCAGTCTACTGCACTTAACAGGGGGAAATGTTGCAGTCATTTGTTTAATTACAACTTGCTTAATTATAAATGTTACTAAAATATGACAAAGAACAAATTAATAATTGTCAAACTTTTATTCTGCCAAATGAGTGTGCAGTTGACAGTTTTAATATATGAATAACACTGCTATGATGTGGAATAAAGGAGTATGTAATTAACAATTACAAGACAAAATAACAGTATATATAAAAATGAGGGCTGGGACTTGATTAAAAATTTTAATCTAATTAATTAGAGGCTTTGTAATTAATTAATCTAAATTAATCACATTTTAATCGTTCAGGAAAATGTGCTCTCAAAGCAAAACTTAATTAAAATTGAGACAGAGAATTAAACATTAGACATAGTTATTACTGTAAAACTAAAGCTTTTAATAAAAAAATGCATTTTAATTAATCAAATGTCACTGTGTGATATGAAACAAAACCCAAATCAACTAAAATTTATAATTACAAATAGAAAACGCCTGCAAAGGGTTCCTGAGCCTTTAAATAGTCTCTCTGTCTAGTTGAATTACTGAAATAAATTTGACTTTGCACCAGATTCTAATTTTTCCAGTTTCACTTGTTTGTATAATTGGGAGTTTTTATTAGCATTTCTACTCATAATGTAGTAAAAACACATAAATAATAATCCTTCAAAATGACAGTAGAACAGGCACAAATATGATCTAGGACTTAAATGTACTAACTTTTAACACCAGAGCAGGCGTGGCATATTCTGAGAATGATCAGGAACACTAACTGGTTCCAGTTGGATGACTGGAGGTTGATGGGAAGATAAAAGATCATGGCGAGGAAATAATGATCTGACGAACAGGTGAGCGGACCTTCCTTACATGGGAAGTCCTGATGTCACGTTAAGAAGGGGATGCTGCAGACCCGCAGATTCATGCCTGCAGCAGAGAATCTGGTGTGATCTCCAGCCTGATCACAACTTCCTCGTTCCTCGCTGCCCCTTAAGCATCCGCCCATTAGCTGATGACAGCTTCAACACAACTCACTGCTTAATGATAGTAATGCATGTGATGTTTAGACAGAGACTCGTCTCAGAAACGTATAACTCCCCGACAGAATTGTTTAGAAAATCATCAGAAAAGTTTCAGAGTGTTTCTGTTTTAACGAAAACTTCTGTTTTCAACTTTAAGACACGTTGTCTGTGATTGTTTACAGAGTAGTGAGAACACGGAGCGTTCTCCCAGCGGCAGCCAGGTGCCTCTCGTTTGTCTGACTACTTTCATAAACTACTGTTAGGGCACAGAATTATTCTGTCTGGTTCTTTCAGCGCTGCACAGATGTTACGTAAATGTTAAAAATATAGCTTACCGCAACTTTTGTAAAGTTTCCTGTGCCACCGGGCAGCTGCAGCTGAGACGATCTCTGAAAAATGTCTGCGACACGGACTCCGTTGTTGTCTGGAAGTTTTATTTTCAAGTTTAGAAAAGAGGCGGACGGGTTTCCTAAACCCTGCATCAGTCCAAGCAAGGCAACTTCTTTCTGTTTTTATTCCGTTAGTAGCCATTAGCACTGTGCATTGTTGTGTGCGTCAGTGATATTCAGTCTACGAGGAAGTCGTGCAATGACAAAGGTTCCGCCGTGCTCGAAATGCAAGCTGCGATTAAACGCGTGGATTTTTTTAACGTGTCGTTTTTTTCTCATTAATCATAATAACGCGTTAAAGTCCCAGCCCTAAAAAACTCAAAATGATAGGGGGGCTTGTGATTATTTTAGGGGGGCTGAAGCCCCCCTAAAACAGACCTAACGACGTCAGCGAGCAGTAGTGTCATCAGCTCCTGGGTTTAAATACTGCCACACCACCCTTCCTTAAAACGAGGAACAGTTTTGAGCTGTGTGTGGCTAAAATAACCAGACATTCTGCATTTTTCCAATAGGACTACAAAAAATCTTAGCGAGAAGAAAAAATGGCGGATTGGCTCTGTGTTTAGCCGAGGGCCATTACCATATTTGGTAGTTATCCTCACTAAATTAATTACTGATGTAATAGGTAATGCAAAAACTGAACGGGTGGACAAATATGCCCAAAACTTAATTATTAAATATCTAAATAGCAACTCCAGTGAATAATATAAGCCTTTTTGCTCACTTAGACACTTAAAATGTGAAACACACCGTGTTAATGGATAAAAAAGTGGGTTTTTCATGTTATGTCTCCTTTAAAAGGGAGTTTTCCTCTCCACTGTCGCGTTATGCTTGCTTAGAATGAGGATTGCTGCATAGTCACTGACACTTGTCAGTGACTTGATGCAATTTGCTGGGTTCCTTATATAGGAAAAATTATTTCTGATTGGCTTAATGAACTGTCCTGAATTGGAATGTTTATTATGTGAAGTGCCTTGAGACGACTCTTGTCGTGATTTGGCGCTATATAAATAAACTTGAATTGAATTGTTCTATCAAAAAAGAAAAACAAGGTGGCTAAATAAATGATGAGTTAGGGAAGATTGGCTGATAATCTTCACTAATTGTAAAGTCTTGCGGGTGGGCCTAGAAAAATGCACCTAGCAGTCAAATCCATGAAGCAGGAACAAAGCAGTTTTTCGCGGGCTCATAGGTGCCAAAGGACTATACCAAAGGGGTGGACTACACTAAAACGGTCTTTAACTTATATAGAAATGTACTTTTTAAAAGGGAAATACAGGAATTATAGTTTTTAACTGATAATTTATAGTTCACTACATCCCACCATTTTGTAGTCAATTATGTAAAACATGATACAATTTTGAAAGTTTTATGGAGACTGATTTGGTCTGCCCCCTCACTGCCCTCGTGTGGTCGCGTCTGTCCTGAGCTTCAGAAGCGCGAACAAACAGGTTTGGACTGGATTCAGCTCATATGTACAGTCTATGATTCAGCTGCTAAGGTAAGGAGATTTCTTTCAACACAGTTAGGTTTTTAAATGAATGCACTCGCTGGGAGACAGTCTGGTAAAACCATCGACGGGTAAAATATTAAGTCTGTCCATTGGTGTATTATGAGTTCTGATAATTCACCCATGAGTTTTTCACATCTGTAGCTTAAAAGCCAGCTAGCTAGCTAAATTGTTTAGCTAATGTTCACCGCTTGGTACTGTAATGTTACTGTGGAGTCATCAATAGTGTTGTTTGTTTGGATATATAATTTATCTGAAATAAAATATATAATTATTTGCAATGTTAGGCTGTTATGCACCTGTGCTTATGAGAGAAAATAATCTGAATATTTCACGGAGAAAACACAGCATTCAGCTCTAAGCCACAAACTCGTTTTCTGTCTCTCACCTGCTGTTAAACATTTGCTTTAATGTTAGGATGTTAACCTTTTTAAGCGCCAAAGTTGCTATATTGAGAGCCACAGCTACAAATATGATCCCTCTTGAAGTTACTACTTTACACCAGAAGCTAGTGGACCTTCAGGCTGAGCAGCAGTTATGTGTGTGTCTATAGTGAAAGTTTCGGAGTTTTTATGGTTTGAAAACTGCCTCCCGCTGAGAGGCTCCCGGTCGGGGAGAGGAGGTAACAAGCGCAACACGAAGAGGGCAAATAGAGGGATAAACTTACAATTGCTGGCAGGTCTGGTCGTTGTGGACTGATCTTTGTCAGGCCATGACTGACTGATTAAGAAGCAGAATATTGACTCTCTGATAAAGAAAGTCACTCATCCTGCTGGAAAGATTACACAGGAGTGTAAGGTGTATGGAGTTTACAAGCTTCAAACGTTGAGTTGGAAGTATTTTTCACCGTGTTTGGGACATGGTGGATGTAGAAATGATGGTTAAAACACATCTAACGTGACGTAGCGCCAATGTAAAAAAATAAAATAACGGAGATGCGTTCGGTATAAACGGAAGTCAAAGTGTGCCACATAATCATAAAAATATTCTTTCCTTTGGATAAAATGATCATTACATTCAAGGGAAGGACACCCCTGAAGCTGTACAAGCCCAAAAATAAACTGATAAATATGACTAAAAAGCATTTCTCTTGAGTGAGGTAAATATAAATATATAAAAAAATGCAATAAAAAGATAACAATATGAAATAAAAATTTCTAAGAGCTTTATATATGTATATATACATTTTTCAATTTCTAAATCTGATTAAAATTCAAAATAACAAATAAGAAACACCAGTACAAATGATGCATTCCAATATGGCAGCCCAGCGATGTCATAATATGCATATTAAATGAGTGAATTTGCTACCAACACAAACTTTGGGTCCTACTGAAGAGTGTTCTCATTTACAGTTTACCTTTATGTGTAACCATTTCCAAGCTACAACCATTTTAAAAAGTCATGTCAAAATGTAATATTTTCTGGGAAATCTCTGGCGCCCAAAGGATTGACATAAAATCAAAGCTCCAAACCATATACTGTCAGAGGACACAGGGAATTTTCTGTCAGAGATTTTAGGTTTTATGAACAGGAAGTGAAGCAAATGCAAAAAAAAAAAAACAAAACAAAAAAAACAAAAAAACAAAAAACCCCCCCCGTAAAAATAAAATATAAAAAGATAAAATCAAATCAACTATAATTTTATGGTCACAAGAGAGATAAAGGTGACACATACACAAAGATTTTCAGTGAGCTATTTTCAGTTGGTGGAAAAAAAATCATGAATGAAAGAATTTGGAAAATCAACAGTTCATAATTGTTTTTAAGAATAAAAACAACAGGTTTTTTTCAGTCATTCTTGTGAAATTGCAGAAAGTAAAGTTTATTTCGATAGCACCTTTTGCAGAAATAAAATCACTAAGTGCTTCACAAACAACATCAATTTTGAAACATGATTAAGAGAGAAAGAACCAAAATTATAAACGTCAAAATAAGATTTAAAAAGTCTATTAAAAACTAAAATCATAAAGACAAATTAAAAAATATTATTGAATTGAAATAATTTATTTCAAGTTTTAGAAAAAGTAAAAACACAGTACTGTCAACTATAAAAAATGCAATAAAGAACTTTAAAATAAAACATTTTTCATTAACAGCTTGATATTACTAATATTATTTGAAATACATGATCAAAATACGGTTTAACCCCAATAAAAAAACATAAGAGATGTTTGATGCTTTTGGTGCTAAACTTTGGATCCATGACAGGTGGTCACTAGACTTTTAAAACCAGTCTAGAGCAGTTTCCATTTTTATCTGCATGGCACAGCATGATGGTTGTTTCTGTCCTCTAGGTAAAGGCACAGATGAAAGGAACACAAGAAAATCATGGATGGATTGGATGATTTTACAGTATCGATTCTAAATGGTATGTCAACCTTGTGTTTCAAAATACATTCATCTGTGTAAACTGCTGAGTAACTGGATTGTTTATGCTCACACTTGTTTAAATAATTTAACTATGTTCTGTAATCCTTATTCACATAGATTCTGAGATTGGAGATTATATATCAGGAGGAGGTTTGTTAATAATTAAAGGGTGTTTACATCTGCCAACATAGATGAGGTCTCGCTCCAAACCCTCAGTCGTGATGATTTAAGAGATCTTTTCCCTGGGCCAGAGAACTTTCAGAGGAGGAAACAGTTGTGGGCTCATGTTCACTACGAGGTAAGTCTTTTTCACATTCAATCTGAAAACACCTAGTACATGGTTATACAGAGCCAAAAGAGACACAATAAAAAATACATTTTTTTTAAATATTTAAATGTGTCAACGATAATTTAAATAAGTGCGCCATAAATAAAGCACTTAATTAATTAAAATTGATAGAAATCTTACATGAATTCAATATTATTGTTTGTCTTGCTGCACATTATTTGCACATATTGTCTGTCTTGGGCTGCATGGTGATGCAGTGGTTAGCACTGTTGCCTCGCAGCACAAAGGTCGCAGGTTCAAAACTCGGCTGTGGCCTTTCTGAGTGGAGTTGCGTGTTCTCTCCATGCATGCATGGGTTTCCTCCGGGTACTCCGGATTCCCCCACAGATCACAACATGCCCTATAGGTCATAAAAAATAGTAAGTCGCTTTGGATAAAAGCATCTGCTAAATATATAAACAAACATTAATAAATTTTGTTTGTTGATCTCATCAAAGTCAGTGGGCGCAGTAAAGGCTGATAAATTTGGTGGCTCATGTGATGAATGATTTATATAGTGCTGGTGAGCATTTGTAAGTCAAAAATGTAAAATAGTTTCTAATCTGTAATATGTGGTAAATCGGGAATTACCACCACTGCCTTTAGCAACCCTGACCTAGCACAACATATTTGTTGTGGAGTTTTTAACTGGTGTAATATTTATATTTCATTGCCAGGATGAGACTCACCTTACCAGACACAGCTAAATCTGGTAAAACAGGAACTGTGTCCTCACCCCAAGGAACTCCTCGATCTCCCCAGACATCCACTCCTTTGATAAAACACAACCCTCAGAAGACCATACAGCTTCCCAGTCCTCCTGAATATGTGATATATACAGACAGTGAACTGGAGCTAGCTCGTAAGCACTATTTTGAGATGGCCCGCACTGGTAGAGAGAGGGAAGTTGCCATGTCCAAAGAGCTGAGGTGCAGGCTGGTGAGGAACACTGTCACCAGTATGATTTCAATCCTAAGAGCAAGTCCACAAGGAGAGGAATACCTGTACCTTCCAAGCATGAAGTTACTGCCATGGCTAAGAAGATCGTGGAGTATTATCCAATGCTACAGGATAAAGACTTGCCATCTAAATATGTATGTGCTTACATTTTTAACTTCTTTTCTTCAGCACTTATGAAATATAAAAAAAATAAACCTTGTTTTTACTGCAGATGGGCATTTACAGTTATCTACACAAGAGAATCCTGAATGCCAAGTCTCCTCAAAAGAGGCAGGGGCCCACTCCAGAAAGGGGCCGTTTAAAAAAAAGACGTCGCATTGAGTTCTCACCACCTGACCAGGAAGAAGATAATGATGCTGAGTCATGTGGTGGATCAACTGTTCTCGCTTTACCAAGGAGCAGTTCTGATAGTGACAATTCCTGTAAGTGATAAATTGTAATTCTAGAAAGAATAATAGACATGAGAAATAAAAAATGTATAATTATTGTGGACATCATGAAATATTGCACACATATTCATAATTTACATTTAAACTATGATTGGGTTTTTGTATGTTTGTGAAGTCACTTTCGTTTATTCATTTAAGTATGCATTACCATTATAAATGTTTTGAACCCAAGCAATGTTGTGCTTTCAGGTTGAATCCTGTTACTGACTTGTATGTTCTTTTAGCTGACAAGGATAGTCGAGTAACGCAGGCCAGGCATTACAAGACTCTGCAGGCAATGTATAAGAAGCCAAAGCCCAACCAAGATGCTGTCCGGCAAATCCTTGACCTTGAGTTTCAATCGAGACGAGCCTTCATTGACAGTGATGTTCTGAAAGAAGAGGAAAGAGCCGGAAAGATTCTCAAGGCATACCCATGTTTCAAAGAGCTTTACAATGTAAGTGGCTTATTTTTTATTGTGTCTTCCCCACAAAGCAAGCATGTACTTTTTTGTTTCTTTCACTATAGGTGATGGACGAGCTGAGGCGCATCCTGGATAAAGGCAACTGCACATTCCTGACAGAATTAAAGAAGCGATGGGATGACTTCTGCTCCACAGTTCAGTTTTACGGTGTTTGGAAGAAGGTGTTGAAGCCACCCATGAACTTGGATAAAGGTTAGTCATTGTGCTGTCATCCACACACCATGTAACTGTTTCTACAGATATAAGTATGATTATCGTTATGTATATTGTCAACACTGATGAAACTGGAATAATTGTACCATATTGGTTAGAATGTCAGATGACCTCTCTTTAATAAAGTATATAGTTAAATATTTCTTAAGCTGAGGAGACCAAACTTTCTCAGAGAAAAAGAGATGATAGCTGGGGTGCCCTGTCACATCCACTCCTGCCGGAACCAACCGGACTCCACCTTCCATCAGGCCAGGAGTCGAACCTACTGCTCCCGTCAGAAGCCACATTTCCCGCTCCTCTCGGAAGCACACACCTGGAGCAGCCGGCTTTTTCCTGCCTCCCGCTCCATCAACTCAAGCCGTGGGGTAGGTCACCGTCTGTGACAGCGTGACTGAGCCCTGTCACGGATGGTGAATTACCCCATGGCTGGAGTCGATGGAGCGGGAGGCAGGAAGAAGCTGGCTGCTCCAGGTGTGGGTGGAGTGTGCTCCAGAGAGGAGCAAGAGGTTCGGCTCCGGATCGGAGCGAGGAGTTTAGAGTGTTAAGGTAAAAGAGGCTCTAGTGTTGAGCTTGAAGAACCCTCGATGACTGACGGCGTCTGGAAGAATGCTTCTGGCTTTTATGAGTGATGTAGGGAACGTTGGCGAGTGCCGGAGGCACGAGGCCTGATAGGATGTGGAGTCCGGTTGTTTCTGCTGGGAGTGGATCCGGCAGGAGTGGATGTGACAGTGCACTGTGTGTCCTTGAACATTGATAAGTTCGAGGAGCAACAAGTGACAAGAAGCTTGACCTTTCTGTACATTACTTCAACTACATTTAAAATTAAACACTTTAAAAAAACCATATAAATAGTGTACAGTGTTTAAATTTATTTATAATTTTATTTATATTGCTCTTTGTGACTGCTAGGATTCTGGGGCCTCATTCACCAAAACTTTGAAGAAATATTCCTAAATTTGTTTCTATGAAAGAAATTTAGATTTTTCGTACAGTCAAAATCCTGATTTATGAAACATGCGGTGGCCTCTCGTACGCACGTTCCTCCGTACTCGTCTGATTATAAATCACACGTGCATACCCAGGTGCTCGTGTCTGTTCAGTCATTTATATTCAGAAACACTCTCAATTAACCATATTTGGTCACGCTACGTCCTCAGCACATTAAGGGAATCCTGTGTTCTACCCAGAAAAAAAGAAAACTTGCGAGATCGAGACACTGGCTGCCAAAGTGCAAACGAACCAAGCTAGTTGCAGAGGTTATAAACACAGTCGGGAGAGAGGAGAGGTTCCTGTCGGGGATAAATTAAAAATAGAATTGAATAAATCGTAGAGTAACGAGTTGTTATTTACATTTAAGAAGTCGATCTACCTGGTGTTTGTTTTATTTGCAAATGTCTGAGAGTGCAGCCTCTTCTGAGCTGTCATTCAGTCTGGTTACCTTGAAGCGTGTGATTGGGGAGCAGAGGAGGTTCTGGAGGGTTATAGTTGTAAAATAGAATACGGACTGGATTCGGATTTGTGTGGTTCATCTGTCGCTAGAGGTGTGAATCTTCACTTGTCTCCCGATTCGATTCGATTACGATTATTGGGTCAACGATTCAATTCGATTCGATATCCCGATGCATCACGATGCATCACGATTATTTCATATTGATTTGTTTTCATCGATAAATAGAACATGTCAGATAATTGCTTTTTTTTTAAATCAAAAACTTAATTGACACAACCGGCCATCCCTTATGACACGTCTCACCTTTATGTTAATATTGTTTTATTTGATGCACTCCACTTTGAACTGCACCAATCCAGCAACTGCTGCATTGTAATAACTAGTATTAAAGGTGAATACACCAGTATTTGCACAATAATAATTTCTGTTTTAAACTCTCAGTGACACACTTTGCAGGGTGGATTTGGCATTTAATTTTTCTTGGCGTCTGGAAAAACATCTTCTTTTGCCCCCTTTATTTGACTTTCTGCCCCCTTTATTTTGGTCCAAGATCATTACTGGGCTGGCCCTAATAAAAACGTTCTACACCCCTGCTTAGTAGACTTAATGGAGTATTTTAAGCCAGTATAAAAATGACTGAAACACAAATTTACATATTTGGCATTATTGACCAATATTTTTTATTTGATTTATTTGTTAAGAACATCAAGATGCAATACAGTGAACATTATAATAAGCTGGGCGGACACTGTGCGACTTTTTCACTCGTAACACAGCTTCAGCTCAAACTGTACGACTTCCTCGCAAGGCAGATCTCACGAGTCATGTGCTCACTGTACGTCAGGTAGCAACACGTCGGACCTAAAATATGCCAAAAATAGCAGTTTTTACACAACACGTTAGACTTTTTTGTCTTGTTTTGCCTGTTGTCCTTCTGGAGTGCTGCAGGAGGCCACACAGGGATTTATGGGGGTTGGATGAGGAAACGAAATAAAGAAAGTAAATCTGTGTTTTGTGATCAGTTTAATTTGACATGAACACGACAAACACGCTTTCTTGACAATCTTTGTGAGTAAAAAAAACGTGTAGAAACAAAAACGAACAGCGTGTGTTATTAGGGAAATAGCGGGTGAGCGGAGTTGATGCAGGACTGCGAATACGCCGTGAGCGGTTCTGATACTTTTTGGGTCGCAGCTGCTCGCTGCGCCGCTTCAACCCTCATGAGGAAAGAGATACATATTAAACACTCCAGAAGTCCGTGTGAGCTCACGATTGATGATCGGTAGCTGGTCACGTGGTGTTAATCGCCTCTCGTAACCCCCTGTACACTACACGACGCTCGGCGCAAAACTCGCCCCGATCTTGTGGATTCTCGCACGAGTGGAAAATCGGCTCAAAAAAGTGAAAAAGTCGCACAGTGCACGCCCGGCTTACTGTCTGTGTGTGTGCGTTGATGCCTGGGCCGAGCTGACGGAGCTCCCGGCTGCAGTTTTCCGTGTAGGGAGGGGCGGGCGCTCTATCTGACTGGCCAATCACAGAGCTTGAAGACAGTCAGTTACCCAATGAGAATTTCATTCAGCACTAGGGCTGCAACAAACGATTATTTGGATAATCGATTAATCGGACGGGGTCTCGACACGATTAATCGATTAATCGGATTACATGGGGAAATTTTTAAAAACTGCTAGGGAAACGTTATTTCTCTCCTTCCTTCACTTTATTTAACACAACATTATTAGAAAACAGTTCAATAGCAGAAAAACAACATGCCATCACCTAAATTGTCTTATAAGGTGTATAGACAGAGACCCTAAGCTACATCTATCTGTGACCTAAAATGCTTGGTCCAATTTAAACAGCTTAAGGGCAATTCTCATCTGTTTTGTTTGATCTCATCTGTTGACATTTATTTTAAATGTAATTAAACATAGGCTGTGAATTAATCAAAATTGATCACCATTTCCAAAAATGACTGAAAAAATACCAAATAAAACAAAAGTAAATGAATGCCATCCTCCTTGCGATGATGCCCTGGGCAACTGCCATAAAGTCACATCAAGAAATGCTGCTGATCATTCCAATGATCCCAAATAGACTCACATTAGGCCACATGAAAGCAACTGAACCCAAAAATATATTAACCAGTATATAACTGCACTCTCACACAACACGCCTGCAGCAACAGTTAGGACTCCTCCCTCCCTTTTAAAAGCGTTTTTGCTTCCGAGGACATTGTGGTTGTAAAACCACATGCTAGTAGTCTGGCCCCGGTGTGATCAACCAGTTTCTGCGGGAATGTGACGGCGGAACCAGGGCCAGATTAACACTTTGTTGTACCCTGGGCAACAATATTCAAGGGCTCCATCATCACAACCCAAGGATCACCATAATGTGGTCACATACAGAATATTTTACTGTAATATGCAGTAAATATACTCAATACTTGAATGCCTGACAACATGTAACCCGCCCAGAGTAACCTTTGACCCACCTCGTGTGGACTGACCAATGAGGAGAGGGTCTTAACTTGAGGCCCTCTCTTCATTGGTCAGTCTGCATGAGACTGACTCTCAACTGACGTTCAAAGTCATAGGCAGCGAACAGTCTCTGTGCAGCGCAAAAGCCCGGGTGGACAGTTTGTTTAATATAGGGTGACCATATTTCCATTTCCAAACAAGAGGACAGGGAATCTGTGCCTATGACGTCACACTATGGCAACGCCACACAAACCACGTTGGGACCCATTTTTTGTAAGAACTAAATTAATATCAGATTCTGCCAATAAAAGGGCTCTAAAACAATTCATATGTAAATATTTTGCATATTTAATGCAAAATCTCATTTTTATGCTTTAGTGCTGCAACAAGGTTTTATTAATAAGAAACTACCTTTTGTTTTACTACAGCATAAGCTTCCTGTGCACAGATTATTAAGGATGCTTGTTTCAGCTGTGAGATTAGACGATTGGATCAATGAAAAAATAAGTTGTCACACACTCCATGGAAACTTTCAGAGAATCCACAAATAGTGGCTTTCAAATGGTTTTGTTACTTTTTGCAAGTTTATAAAAGAAGCAGATGAGACAGCATGTCTGATAATTTAGTTTTTCATCTGATAATATTAGAACATGTCAGTAATGTCTGAGGGGCTTTTATAAACACTGTATAACTAATACTCCTGGAGAGGGTATGAATTACACAGAGGCTTCTGGGGAGCCCAGTTATGGAGGGGGGGGGGGGCATTTTGCCTTGGCCCCCAAAATGTCTTGAAACGGCCCTGGGTGTGTGACTGAGTTTTGAAGGTGATCTGAATTGTATCAGATGTATAAATATGACATGTGTATAACTTATTGTTTTTTACTGGTAAAAACGTGTAGTGGAGATAAATCTACCTACATTTTACTTTGTTTTCTTGTTTTTATTTAACTATTTTCCTGTCCTGTCTGTCTCTCATCTTCCTGCATCTCCTCATAATTCTCCAGAAAATCTGTTGCCTGGATTCTTACCTTTTCACCTCATCAGTAACTTTTGAGCAGATCAAAGAGATCTCCTGACCGCAAAGCGCAGAGCGCGTTTTCGATGCTGCGTGAGGTGACATCACCACAGCACAGGTGATGAGCTCCGCAGTAGCGCGCTTCAGGCACAAATAAGACAGAAAATAGAGAACATGTGCAGACAAGAACGATCGTGTGCTAATTATAGTTTTTTGGTTGCGCCACTTTGAGAATGGACCGTGCGCTGGAAGCAGCTAGCTGGATCGCTGTGCAACAATGCGGAACCGGTTCGCAGCAGCGCAAGTCTGCAGGCTCTCCCTCGCGCTGATCTGCCGGTACCGGCTCTCTCTCGCGCTGATCTGCGGCTCTCCCTCGCGCTGATCTGCCGGTACCGGCTCTCCCTCGCGCTGATCTGCCGGTACCGGCTCTCTCTCGCGCTGATCTGTGGCTCTCCCTCGCGCTGATCTGCCGGCTCTCCCTCGCGCTGATCTGCGGCTCTCCCTCGCGCTGATCTGACTTGCTCTGGTCTGTGCTCAACGGCGGGCGGGTGGGGCGCTTTTGGAAGAGTTGTGCGACACAACGAATCGATGACGCAATTCGTTGCCAACGCTTTTAGTAATCGATTTTCATCGAATTTATCGATTCGTTGTTGCAGCCCTATTCAGCACGATTACAGATATTTCCGAGTTTTACACTCGTTTCTTGCTCGTATTCGTCAAAAATGCTTTATCCGTATGCTCATAGCTGTAACCACCCTGCCGTGCCTCCTCCTCCCTGCTACCTGCCGGCTGTGATCACAAGCAACAACACAGTAGTTCCCGCTGCTTCTTTGGGAAACGGCGCAAAAAAAAAAAACATCAATAAAACTTGGGATGTTGTAGGCGTGGCGGTGGGATTTCAGCCGTGGCGGCCCGCCACGGCTACGCCTATGTAAGGGAAACCCTGCTTCCTCCCAGTTTCTCTTTAAGCTGAATTTAACATCAGTTTATCATCATGACACAAAATAATAAAGTGGAACAAGAACTTCTATCTTCTATTTCTCTCTCATTTTAAATTCTCCGTGTCCCTAAATAAAAGAGGCAGACGATCACGCTGCAGCCGCCGTCATTGACCCCGCCCCCTCCCCAAGACCGGATCTCCCTACATTACAACAAGCAGTCTGACTGAGCGCTTCCAGGAGAAATAATAATTAAATTAGGAAAATAATAACGCGTGTTTGGAGCATCGGTTTGGAGGAATGTCCTCCGATCGTCTCTCTTGTGTGAGCAGACAGTCTCTCTCTCTCTCTCTCTCTCTCTCTCTCTCTCGGTCGTTGATCGAGCGAGCGGAGCGCGCCGCGTGACAACCCGCTCAATTAACATAATTCACGGCCCAAATCCAACAGAACCGGTCGGGCTGATTTGGTTCCGGTTTGATCTCAGGTTACAACTCCAGCGCTCAGCCCTGCAGTACCACATTAAGGCGGAGGTAAATGTGGAGGACGCTCACTCTGACAGATTTGGATGGTGCGCTGGAGCCGCCGTTAAAAAAACAAAACTACATTCCACTATAATCGATTATGGCGTACTCTTCTACAATGCAGAATCGTTTATGTCCGCATCCCGATGCATTGATTATTTGATTATTTTCCTCAGCTCTATCTGTCGCTCCACAATGGATCCCAAATCACAGCATAGCTCCAGATGGATCTCCTGCCAGTGCACTCAAGGACACGAGAGAGCATGCTCAAATCCTTAATAATAATATAGAAACAATCTTTTATTTAATTCAGGCAGTAAGCAAGTGCAGACTGGCTTGAGATCCAGTCAGCTGCAGAGTCGATATTCTTGTGATTGACCCATGAATGTCTAGACCTATAATATAAGATGAACAATTTTTGTCAAATGAGTGTACAAAATAATGCTTTCTGGTATTTAGAAAAATACAGGACTGTTAATGGTGGCACGGGATTATTTGTGAACTCAAGATGAAGCTGTCAATCCGATTTAGGCAGAGTAATGTTGAACTAAAAGTTGATTTACTGTGTTCCAGTGAAACACAACATAGCCCTGTTCAGGGTACTCCCCATGCTCTTCCCATCACCAGCTGTACCCCCCAAGAAGCTGGGACATGCCAGTGAGGCATTAATTCATGTCCTTCAGGTTAGTTTTCTCATATCTGTTGAATGTCTGCAAGTGGTTTTATTTTGTACATGCAGGGTTTTTCCTGACTCAAATTGAGGCAGAGGTGGCACCATCCTGACCATGCACCACCACATACTCTGTGCATTCAACTTCCTCAATTTTTTAAAAGCCAAATATGTTATCGTTGAAGTGTTCGCATCTAAGCTTCTGTGGATTAATTGAATATTTCATTTGACAATGTTTCAAGTGAAACAAAACTGGTTTGCTGCTAAAAAATATGAAATAAAACATCAAAATTATCAGGCTGAAATAACAGACTCTTATTATAAAAGGCTCATTAATATGCATTAGATTAGTGTTAAGTTCCTTTTTACAATCTGATATTTATAGTTAAAATATTTTCATATATTTGACCCACATTTCAGTAACGTTTTAGGTTTGTATTAATAACACTCATCTTAATCTAAATGACACATAAATATATCCAGTAAAATATAATGCATTTCATTAACATGCATTTGTATTGGAAATGGCAATAACATTTAATTTCTGCTGCTAACAATGTAATGGTGGCATGTCTATTATGTACGGGTTGGCAATAATACAGTTTAAATTATGTTCACTACAACGGCTTGCCGTACTTCCTGCTCCTGTGTGTGGAGCAGATTTGTAGCAGTAATGTGACTCGTATCTGCAGCGGTTCTGATCCGTAACGCTGCAGGATGCTGAATAAACAGGATGGTGGGGACTTTTCATCCACTTGTAGAGTTTAGTCTTTCTTAGTTTTACCATCATATATTTTTCTGTGCGCCACTTGATCGTGAGACTGCTACCCGTTAGCTTTAGCATTAGCCAATCTGCATGTAGCTGCACTTTTGATCCCAAACTTTGGACCGGTTCTGCCTTTGCTGGTTCCTGTATTTTCCTCCACTGCATCCAGATGACCACACTGTGCCCCAGTAAAAAGCATTTTTCTTACACGTAGCTTACTTTTGTTCAATAAAGTTCTGGGGAAAATAGTAAATGAAACATGTTGCACCAGTGCTACGTTTAAAAACAAACACGCGCATTTTTTTTCATCACACTGTATAGTCCTGCTCTGATATGGAAGAGCCTGGGGGAAAATCAGGACGTCAGTAGCACCAACCATAGATATGTACAGACTAGCGAGAAAAGCAATTTTTGATCTTTGTCTACAGCGGCTTAGGTGCTTTTCGGTGCACCGCTGCAGATACAGTGTCCGTGTAGTGGCGCAACGCTGCAACTGCAGTTAAAATAACATCCATATAGCTGGGAGCAGAGTGAAATCAGGCTGGGGCGGCACAAAAATAGCTGGAGGCGGCCGCCACGCAAATTTGAACGCAGGAAAAACCCTGCAATGTAACAGTTTCATTGTTTCCTCTAAGGTTTTTTTAAACCCTGGTAAGGCGCTCTCTCTCTCTCTCTCGCTCTCGCTCTCGCTCTCGCTCTCGCTCTCGCTCTCTCTCTCTCTAATAATGTAATGTAATTAAAATTAGTATGAGACAGTCTCTTAGTAATTAAAATTAAATGGTCAGTCATGTGGGGACAGCAATTGTGTCTCAAGTAGTTGGACTTAGAGCCCTGCACGGGCCTAAAATCTGAGCCCGTGTCTGGCCCGGCCCGAGGGGGTGGAGCCCCAGCCCGACCCGGCCCGAAAAGGTTTTCAGGATTATCTGGCCCAGCCCGAGCCCGACTTTTTTTTAACCAACTAAATGAAAACAAAGTGCGTCAATCCTGACCAATGTGTTAAAAGACGTGCAGGAAAACAATTTGTTTTCCCCTCGTTTACCGTCACGGAGATAACGGCACAGGCTCTGGTGGTAATCAAGTTAAATTTTCTCTTTCCAACAATTTTCACAAGAAAACAAAACAGTCTAAAGCAGGGCTTGTGTTGACCGGATAGTTCCAGCATTTGACGGTTTATTTTGACAGAGAAAGAATAGAAAGAATTATCCTGACGCATGCAGACAAACTGACATTTTATTCGTTACACACATCGCAGATGTAGCTAAATCACCCAAGAAAAGATTCCCATCTGAACATCTGAGCTGCTCAGCGCAGCTCGCTGTCAGCGCATATGTGCACAGCGAGGCGAGCTGAACTTGTGGAGATTGGCTTGGAGTGTGTCGCAGAACCAGAGCGCATGCGGGAAGGTTCCTCCCACTGAAGCGAGCGTTTTCCAAACCCGGTCTCTCAGAGAGACTTGTCACTTAGAAAATGTTCCCTGATTATGAAACTTTGGCTGAATAGTGCTTGTTCCTGTCTCCAATGTGGCGACACATCCAGGAGGAGAATCCCAGAATCTCTTCAGCTCAGGAAGCGCCTATGATTACGCACAAGCGTGACGCGTCAACCCGGTCTCACAGTAAGACCGGGTTGGACCTGTTCAGGTTTACGCAGACAATCTTTACATAGAATTGACTTACAGATATAAAATTAATTCAGTAAAATATAAAGCATTTTATTTAAATATCCATTCATTATTTTACAAGCACAGAGAGCCGCATCAGATGGATGGAAGAGCCGCGGGTTGTGACATGTTTTCTCCAGGACCAGAGAGGACGCAAACTCATTACATCTCTTCTATTGTGAGGTAATAATTTCTCCGAATTTTGCGGTTGCGGGCGGGAGTAGACATGCACGCTACGGGTGCGGGCGGGAGTTTAACGTTGCAGTTGCAGGCGGTAATGGTCAGAAATTCAGCGGGAACGGGCAGGAGCGGGATGAAGAAAACAGTCCCACTCAGGGCTCTACTGCTGCGTTTGTGTTTCCGTTTTTTTATGAATTCGATTAAAAATAAAGGCGCCCGGCCCGTGTCCAAGCTAGGTGGTTACACAGTTGTTGGCCCGAAGCCCGGCCCGAGGGCCGTCGGGCCGGGCCGACCCGAGGGCCTAGGGCTTCAGTGCAGGGCTCTAGTTGGACTGCACCAGTAACCTTTCAGATTCTCTGTTCTACCATGAAGAAATAATTTGTCCTTTTTCTTTAGCCAACAGAAGATCCAGCCATGTACCTCCAGAAGAGTTCCATCTTGGGCCCAGTTTTGCTGTTGGGTCATCCTGTCTTGTGGCACTGGAAACCACTCCCATCACCACATTTGCAAAAGAAGACCTCGGTCAAGGTTTGCTGTATCTAATGTACATGGTTTAGGAAACCAATATTAGTTGAGGCTATAAAAACGAAAATAGAGGTTAAGTTGCTGAAATGAATAAATATTATGGTAGTAGAAGTTAGAAGGTCAGTATTAATCTAATAACAACATTTAGATTTTACTTTCATAGAAAATAGCAAGACTTTAAAACTCAAGGTTTATGAGACCATCAAAAATGGTCTCATAAACATATTGGTTTCATAATGCTGGTGAGTAACCTGAAAAATTGGGCTTGCTCACCATATCCACACACACACACACACACACACACACACACACACACACACACACACACACACACACACACACACACACACACACACACACACACACACACACACACACACACACACAGTGACACATACACTGTGGTCCATTATTGAGGACCACTGCTCTAGTGTGTTGTTGCAGAGAAACCACCAAAACATGCTGGATACCGACCCTCCACACCTGGAATTGAATACCCCTATTCTTTGGTATGTACACCTCTTCACCACTTATCAAATCATCTTGTTGGTTGTACGTATCCTTTCCTATCCTCATCCTTCAGTTATTTATTTTTATAGTATATTTGAGGTCAGGTCACCTGCCTCCTGAATTATACTAGGGATGCACCGATCAGGTTTTTTGCTGCCGATCACCGATACCGATATCAAAGAATGCTGATCACCGATACCGATCACCGTTACCGATCACGTGGATTGGCCAGAAATTTTCTACAACATTATAATGAGTGCTACAAACTACATAATCTGGGAATAAAGGAAATGTAACCTAATCTAAAATGGTCTGTATTAGGGTTGTCACGGTGTGAAAATTTAACCTCACTGTTATTGTGACCAAAATTACCACGGTTTTCGGTATTATCGCGGTATTTTTTTAAATGTGCTACATTTTCACACAATTAAATAAACCCTGTATGTCAGGAAATATTGTCCTCAGTTTGTGTCTAAATTTTGCCTAAAATGTGTTATTTTGTAATTATGTTGTTCATTTGTTTACATGTTTCCCCTTTAGCCTTTAAAATACCAATATTTGTCCATAACTTCTTATTTTATGTCTGTTTGATGTCATCATTTTAAAAATATTAGATCAGATGATACTTAGTACTCAAGTAGCCTTCTAATCAGATACTTTTTTACCCTTACTTGAGTAATAAACCCTATATCAGGAGAATATTGTCCTCGGTTTGTGTCCTTCCAGTGAGCTTTGCAGATGTGGGAAAATGTCATCAGGCAGTAATCGTTGTTAAATTCATAATTATTCTCGGAGAGAGACCAACTCTTATCTGCCCCTGGGAGCCCCGTAATGCATAGCGTCATTTCAACATGGGGGTGTCCGCGACACGGTTTATATGCAGGTAGCGGCGCTGCGGCTGCTTTATATAGCGACTCGTTGCATTCTCCCTCAACCCAAATCCTCGGATCACGCATTTTAGCTAAAACGCTAACGTTAACTTGCCTTGCGTTGACTGTAGAGTTGTGGGTGATGGTCACGCAGATGTGTCATGAGATTTGAAGCGTTGCTGCCTTTCACAGACACTTTTTCTGCTCGCGCTGCAAACAGGATAGCCGTCCGTCCGTCTTCTATAAACTCCCTCGGCATTCTTCAAATATCTAAAATATGCCCGTACTTCCGACTTTGTCTTCTTTGAGGGATAATAAATGTCCTCCTGAGCGCTGCCGTCTCCTTCTTTCACCATTATTTCAGCTTTAGCTTCAAGAAAGTTTTGTTGTAAACAAAGCGTGCACGTGCCGCCGGCAACTTCAGCCGATGATACGGTGGCTGGTAAGGGTCACCGCGCCTACACCGCAGCCACGGTAAACCCACCAAGATAATATAGTTTTTTAAAAACAAGACGGTTAATATTATTGTCAACTTTTTCTTTTTTTTTTTAACGGGGTTTACCGCTACACTGGTTACCGTGACAACCCTACCTGATCGGTTTGCTTTGATCTATTTTGAAAATTCCGATCAAAACCGATAGGGGCGCTATCGGCCGATTACGATCAAATGCCGATCCATCGGTGCATCCCTAAATTATACACCCTCATCAAAAATTCTACACCAACACATTTGTGACACGTTTCCTCAGATGACTGAATCATATTTCTAGAAACAAGATCTGCACCAACCAATGTGGGTCAGGTTTTGTTCCTAAATGTTTGTTTAAACAGAATCATCAGATTCAAAATGGAAACTTTACATAGGAAGCAGGTAAACTCATTCAGAGCATAGCTGTGACTTCAACATAAAGGTCAAAATGAGATTCCACATCAGGAAAGGACATATTCGGTGAGAGGTTTCCCTCTAGTGGAAAACACGTACCCACAGCCTTTAAATTATGTGCTGCTTAGAACACACTTTTAGTAAAACAGTCTTTATTTTACAAAAGCTGCATTTGAAAAGTTTTTAATTTGAGTTTGGTTGTGTGTTTTTATTTTTTTATTTTGGCAAATTGTTTTCCATTAATATAAAAGAGAATAGCAAAGCATGTCTGGACACGACATCTTTGAGATGCAAAAAAACATTAAGAGAAGAACTGCACAGAGTTCATAATACTGAGTGACCACCCATTTAAACACTTATTGACCCATTTTAACCTTTGGACAACTCTGACATTTCTTATAATGGGCAGTCATGTCCTCAGCCCTGTTCAGTTTATCTGTCTGCTATCCAGAATAATACCTGCAATAGAAATATAAGTAAAATCTTCCTTAAGTCCAACATCAGTTCTTCAGTCTGTACCTGTAAGATGCGGGTGATTCTGCTAACACCATTCTAACTGTATGTGGGTACATTTGGTGCAATAACATTTGTGTTTTGTTCTTAGGAACTTGAAGTCACAGAGAAATTTTCAGAAAAATCCTCTTTATTCTGCTCTCCTGACATATTCCACCTTCCTCAGGATCCACTGATTTCCCTCTTTCCGATTCACTCGCTCTCTTTCTTTACATTTTTATAATCACAATAGTCTATTTTTTGCTCCTTTTAAATATATTTTAAACCATTTTCTAAATTCTTTGTTATATTTTTACATTTTTTGTTTTTGTGAAGCGCCTCGTGATTTTTATCTTGAGAGGCGCTATAGAAATTATATTTTCTTCTTCTTTTCTTCTTCTATCTTTCACAGGTACAAAACAGCTACACCTATTCAAAATCTTAGGTACGAGTACACAAAATTCATTCTTTGAGTCACACATCAAAAAAATCTTAAAGTTTTGCCCCAGTTGTTGCAAAATATCTGGTGCAAAAACATTTGTGTCTCGACTCTGGGAACTTGAATTCACAGAGAAACAATCTAGAAATAAACTATCATTCACAGGTACAAAACAACAGCTTCACCTATTCAAAATCTTTGTTTCAAGTACACAAATTGTATTTGTTGAGTCACACTGCTCTAGTTATGAGTCTAGATATGTGCTACATGACAGAACGAGGTGCTCTCGTCCAGCAGCAGCCAGTGTATAACTAAATAATGCGAGCAGTTACCAAGAAAAATTTCTTAAAGTTAATGTAGACATTTTATCGGGTGGATCTTTGGTCCCCATAACTGTCAATCATTCTGCTGAAGCCGTTACACAAGGCCGTCATACGTGCTTGCTCCTCCTTCCCAGGTTAGTTTTCACGACGTGCACATTTGCATCTGTTTATATTTGTTCTATCCCTCCGTTCGCACTGAATTATTTTGAAAATGTCTGAAAGTCACAAGAAAAAAGGTGTTTAAGTCTGCAATAAGAAGAGAAAGGCATCAAAAGCGGGAAATATTACCAGAGTTTTTTAAGAGACTCTTTTCAATGATGGCGTGTGCTGAAAGAGAAGGTTGGGCTCTCCACAGACGCCACTGTTGACAGGTGTGCTAAAGTTCAGCATTCTGTCTGGAGAAATGCATTACAGATTACTGCTAGAAGTGGTGAGTGCAAGGCCGGCAGCTGCTTGTAAACAGAGCGTGCACGATAGAGTGGTGTACGTGCACATTTTTCAGAACGTGGAGAGGGCGGTTCTCTCCTGAAAATCAAAAAGAACGTCCGTGTCACCTTTAAGAGAAGGTTTAGAATACATAACAAGGTCATTATGTAAACAAGGCAAGTGAAGGCACTAATTAGTGAAATATAAACAGTAGCAGCTAGGGCTCCACAATGTATCGAAAAATTATCGTCATCGGGATAACAGGACGTGTGACAGGCCCATCGCAAAGCACGTCAAAAATGGCGATAAATGTTTGGTTCAAACATTTCCATCCATGTCATACATCAACTTTTTGTAAACCAGCTGTTTTTTACGCGGAAGTATTATTTGACCAATCAAATGTAGCCCTTCTGTTATGCGGCCAATCAGATGGGTCCGTTCACGTAATACGCCCGCCCCCTACGTAGACCCTTAGGATGGAAAGCAACACCCGAACTGAGTTAGCGGTGCCGTTCCTTTGTTCTTCATGCAGGCTCAGAGCAACGAACACACTTTGTGCTGAGGTTTCTGGAATAAGCGCTGCTTTCCAAAGTGAACGTGAGTCCGCTCGGTGTCGTTTATCATTTTTACCGGGCTGACTCCGACACGTGCCGGTGAACCAACCCACCTTCATGTCGCTAGTGTTCCACCGGGTGGTGATGTTAGCCCCAGGCTCTGGATAGCTTCCAGCTAAAAGGCTTCAAAAAGTAGCCATCTTAAAATAAGCTAAAAAATAGTTGAATTTAGTCTGAATGCCCTTAAATTAAGTGAAATAATCTGCCAGTGCAGCAAGATAATTGCACTTGGTAAGACTTCTTGAAATAAGAAAAAATATCTACGCTTTAGACAAGTGACACATGTCTTAATACAAATAGTGAAACACTAATTTCAAGTGCAAAATTAAATAAAATTAACTCAACTAGCCTGTTGGTGCTTTTTTCAGTTTTTTTTATCCCTCCCATGTTGAGATGAAAAATCTTGGAACAAGCAACTGTACAAGATTAATCTTCTGCAATCAAGAAGCATTAATCGGTTTTGTTTTAAATCAAGACAAAGATTTTATAATAAAAGAAATAAGGCACAGAGTGTAATAAACAACCTTTATTTGAAATTTCTTTTCAAATGTCAAAACATTTTTCAAACATCGTACAGATCAACGACTTTCTTAACAAATCTTTTTTTTTTTTTTTTTTTTTACCGTGTCCTGTCTGGCTGTGAAGCAAGCAGAATTGATGTCTGAATGCTGGTGACAAGCCTTACAGATTTATTCTCAGGTGGGTCATCAAAGCATTTGCTTTTAATGTCACGCCTGATACTTAAAACTTTATTGTTATTGTTGTTGAATGCTTTGTAATTCCGACCAGACACGGAGACAGAGGTGAAAGAGAGAGGAAAAGAAAAGGTGGGGAGAGAGAGAGAGAGGGGGGGGGGGGGTTTCCACAAAAACAAACAATAATGAACAAGAGTCTGCTTCCAGACCTGCAGAAAAAAGACAAAAAAAAACAAAGGGACACAAAAAAGGGACACAACAACAATACAACAAGATCTACCTATCACTGCGTCAACTTGATGAAAAGAAAAAAAAAAATATATAATCAACATTGCTTAACTGAAGAATCACGATAATAAATCACAGTGCATTAAGTGCCCACCATAGTCGTTTAAGACCTGTGTTTAACGTGCCCAAGCCCATACTTTTGAGAGCACCATGTGAGCACCTGTGTGTGTACACGCGCTTGTTTATTTAAGGTTTTTCTATAGGAGCGCCCAACAGAGAGTGTGAGGGACCACAGATCTGCCCCCCAAAGATGCGCAGGAGATGGGGGGGAGCTCCAAGTCCCAGAAATCCAGGCGCTGCCCCAGAACGCAGGAACCCCAAGGAGACTGCCAGGAAGGCCCCCGCCCCCCTCAAGAGGCACAGAGGATCGCCCCGGGGGGCCACAACCAGCAGCCGGCAGAGTCCCCGGAGATATCAGCGGCAAGCCCACAGGCCCGCCCGCAGCCTCCCACCCCCTAGCCGGCCGAGCCCGGGACCCAGCGACCCGGGACCCAGGGGCGACCACCCCCGCCGGGGACCCAGCAGAGCCCAGGGACCCAGACCCCACCAGGCAGCCACCGGGATCTAACAGGCAGATGCCAAAATCTTAAACCCCCAGACCCGGTTGCCCCGAACACTCAGGCAGACCAAGGCACAAGCCCCCACACCAGGTGTGGCAGGGGGAGGGGGGACAGAGATCTATATCATCAAGAGAAGTTCCAGGAGAGGGGAGGACCCAAAGGCCCCACCTGACATATACAGTCATACACAAACACAGTCACACGCTCCCTCCCTCATGCTCACACATGCACATACAACCCAAGACTTACAAAAATGCACGCCGGACACCCACTCATGCTCTCCATACACACCCTATTCACTCTGGTCCCGGTACTGCTGCACATTGGGTACAACCATCACCGGTAACCAGAGTTTGACCCTTTCTGCTGGGGTGCTGATGAGCAGGCTCCCCCGCCCAACGCTGAGCACAGCAACCCACCACCCCAGACCCCAACCAGACGGCCAGATCTCCCTCCTAGCCTCCAGCCCCAGGAAGCCTAGCAACAACAGAGGTGGCTAAGACCCCTAGTCTCCCTCCGCCTGCTCCAATATAGTGTTGTGTAATCATGAGGTGTATTCCATGGCTGTGGTGAGTGGGCAGTGCGGGCATCATCCAGCATATGCCAGCTGATGCCACCGCACCACCCCACTTAAACCCTCAGCCATCAGTGTCTTAAGTGCGGTTTAAAATTGGAAGTGGGCACCTGCACCTGGGAGGAGGCTGAGATATCCCCCTGCCAAATGCCGTTGAATGTGCTCACTCCCAAGGCCCTAAGTGTGTGTTTGTGTGGAATGTCGTCAGTGGAAGTGTATAAGGTGCAAATAAAATTGGGGGGCAGGTTTCCACAGGAATGCGGAAATGGGGTCCATACCTGCACTCCCTGACTTGCCCACCCCCCAAGGTCCTATGTGTATGTTTGTGTGATGATGTGAGGGAGCAGGAGGAGAGAAATATGCGAGGATGGGGAGGAATGGCTGGTTGGGCTTAGCCCTCCAGGGAGCCAGCTCCCCTACTGGCCCCAATAGGCACCTCTGTTGTCAAACTGCCACCCAGGGCATGGAGACCCCAGCCCATCCTGCCAGGGCCCAAAGCAGCAGCATTACAGAGCCTCACGGAGTCTGAGGGCACCAACCCAGCCCCACCCCAGCAGAATATCTATGCCCACCCCTGCATTTGCACAACTTCTAGAATATATAAGACATGGGACATCCAGGTAAGGTTGGGTCCTTCCCCTCCTGGACCTCCCCCTCCCCTGTGATGGAACGGCAGAGGAGCCAAGGCCTACCTGAGGCCCCCGAACCCGGGCCAGGCACTGCTGGGTGTCCCTGCCTTCTTCCCGGCAGCATACATGTCAGGACCCGACCCCCAAGGCCCCGCCCAGATCCCCACACGGGGCCGGCCACCCCCAAACCCCGAGCCCCCAAGCCCCCACCCAGACCCGCCCAGGGGCATTGCAGCCGCCAGGCAGTGACCCATGGCAGCCGCCAAGATCCCCAAGAGGCCCTACTCACAACCGCCAGCAGTCCACCCCCCAAGGCAACCCAAGCACCTCCAGAGGGGGGCAACGGCCCCCCAGTCCCAGACACCCCCGTGAACCAACCTCCAGGGAACATCCGGATACTCCAAACTCAGACCCCACACACCCCCACCCACACCATCCTGCAGGACAACATCAACGGCCCCCCACCCTCGCTATGTGATGGAACCGATCAAAGGAGCCCAGAGAGATTCATCTGAAGTGGAAGCAGAGGCTATATCAAGTGCAATATGATCTAACAAAAGATTTCTATACTGGTTAATGCAGAGACTTTCTCTATTTTTCCAATTCAAGAGGATAGTTTTCTTAGAGATGCATATGGCAGTCAGAACCACGTGAACCAAAGATGTTTCAATCGGGACATCGTACAGCTTCCCCAGTAAACAAAGAGAGGGGGAAGTTGGGATATGACATTTCAGACATTTTGTCAGATCCTCACATACTCTACCCCAAAATTCCTGGACAGGTGGGCAGGACCACAGTGCATGAATGTAATTGTCAGGAATGTTGTTTGTGCAGTGTGTACAGGTGTCAGACGACACAAACCCCATCTTGAACATCCGATGACCTGTATAGTGTACTCTGTGTAGAATTTTGTACTGAATTAATTGTAAATTGGGGTGTCTGATCATTTTAAAAGTTTTTAAACAAGTTTGGGACCAGAAGTCCTGGTCAAAGCTAACTGATAGATCCACCTCCCATTTTTCAATAGGGATTGCAATTTTATTGTCTATTTTGGACAGTGTCTTATATACTTTAGACAGTAGTTTGGGGGGTCTGAGATTATAAAAGTCTAATACCCTTGGTGGTGTTTGTAATTCTATTTTATTGAGCTTAAATTTTTGTTTGACTACAGATTTAATTTGGTGATATTCTAAAAAGCTATTCTTATCCATTCTAAATTGGGAGACTATTTGATTAAATGGTATGAAGTCCAATCCTTCATATTTGTGTTCCAGGTATAGGATTCCTTTATTTTTCCAGTCCGGAAGGTTCATCATTTTGTTGTTTTGCAAAATGTCAGGATTGTTCCAGATAGGTGTGCGTCTGCATGGTACTAGTGAAGACTCTGTCATTTTAAGATACTCCCACCATGCTGTCAGAGAGGTGCTGATACTAATACTTTTGAAGCTTTCATGTTTTCTTATGCTTGAGCTAATAAATGGTAAGTCTGAAAGCTCTATAGTATTGCAAAGTGTCTGTTCTATATCTAACCAGGACTCGTCTAATGGGTTATCTTGCAACCATCGTGGTATATATTGAAGCCTGTTGGCTAAGAAATAATAATAAAAGTTGGGTAAATCCAGTCCTCCTCTGTCTTTGGTCTTCTGAAGCGTTTTTAAGCTAATTCGTGGAGGTTTATCCTGCCAAAGGAACTTAGTAATTGAGGAGTCAGTCCAGAGATTTAAACCAGTCAGCTGGTGGTTTGTTTGGGATCATCGAGAATAAGTAATTTATTCTGGGTAAGACCATCATTTTAATTGTAGCCACTCTCCCCATGAGTGATATTGGTAAGGATTTCCATCTTGCAAGATCATCTTCCACTTTCCTTAAAAGTGGGATGTAGTTTAGTTTGGTTAGATCTGCTACCTTGGGAGAGATATTAATTCCCAGGTCTGTGATATTCCCTGACTCCAATTGTGTATTAAGCAAATTGACAAATGAGAAATTAATTGGTAGAACTGTGGATTTTAACCAGTTTATAGAGTAATCTGAAACTCTTGAAAAAGAGTTTATCAGTTCTATTGCTTGGGAGAGAGAGGATTGAGAATTCTGGAGAAAGAGTAAAACATCATCTGCATAAAGACTGATCTTATGTTCTATTTTCTTACACTTTATCCCTTTAATATCTGTTGTTTGCCTAATTGCTGCTGCTAGTGGTTCGATAAAGATAGCAAAAAGTGAGGGGGAGAGTGGGCATCCCTGCCTGGTCCCCCTCTGAAGACAGAAGCTAGCTGATATTTGGTCGTTCGTCCTGACACGTGCTGTTAATGAACTGTATAATGTTTCTAGCCAGTTTATGAAGAAGTTCCCAAAGCCAAATTTATGTAAAGTTGCAAATAAGAACTTCCAGTTAACTCTATCAAAAGCTTTTTCTGCATCTAGAGATAATATACTAGTTTCTATGTTTCTACTGTAAGAGAAATCTATCAAATTAAGTAATCCACGTGAGTTTGTGGATGACTGTCTACCTTTAATGAAACCAGTTTGGTCAGGGTGTATTATGAAGGGGGTTACCTTCTCTAATCTTTTGGCCAGGGCTTTACAAATTATTTTGAGATCAACATTAATAAGAGAAATTGGGCGATAGCTGGTTGGAAATGCTGGGTCTTTGCCTGGTTTTAACGAGACTAATATTGGCTGAATTCATGTTTGGCTGTAATCTGCCGCTCTCTTCGATTTCCCTCACCATTCTGAAAAATGTTGGAGCCAGAATGATCCAGAATTCTTTGTAGAATTCTACTGGGAACCCGTCTGGACCTGGAGCTTTCCTATTGGTCATGGATTTAAGGGCTTCCTGGAGCTCCGCTGATGTTAGTGGCGAGTCCAGGACTGTAACTTGGCTGTCTGATAATTTAGGAAGTGTTATCCTGTCAAGGAACTCATTGATCTCATTATCTGATGGGTTTATCTGTGGTGAGTACAAAGTTTGGTAAAAGTCTCTGAAGGTGTTGTTTATTCTTTCAGGGTCATTAACTATATTCCCGGTTGAGTCTTTAATAGCAGATATGGTAGTTTTCTCTTTATTTATTTTTAATTGGCTAGCT